TTGATTTGTGTGTGTGTGTGAAAAATTCTTGCATTTTTCCATCCTTTTGTTTTAGTCTTAACTGGTTACTTTCTAGTCTGTAATCTGGGATTTTCTTTTTTTTTTTTTTTTTTGTCTTTTGTCTTTTTCCGTGTCCGGCAACGGATCGCAACCCTCAGTGTTGCCCCCGTACCGGACCGGGGACCGGCAACGGGATTGCAACCCTCGGTGTTGCTCCTGCGCCTCGCTCAGCCAGTGAGCGGGAACCGGTCTGTATGTGGGATCCGAACCCTCGGGCGGGAGCACCGCCGCGCTTCCCAAGCGGCGCACTTATCCAGTGCGCCACCGGGCCGGCCCCGTAATCTGGGATTTTCCTTTGCCATCAACCTTGAAATTATATTGACCTCTCTTGGCAGTTGGATGCCATGCTTTCTGGCTTCAATACTTTCTTGGTTTATTTCCTTGTTATGGTGAAGCACATCTTGTAGTTTAGTGAGAGAGGGTACATGGGAGATACATTTTTTGATACCCTATCTGTCTGAAAATTTCTCCCTAATACTTTTTTTTTTTTTTGAGGGGGAGTTTAGGGTGTTTTTTTTGTGGCTGACCTGCAGTATGGAGATATGAACCCTTGACCTTGGTGTTGCTCTCCTAATACTTTTTTTTTTTTTTGTCGATATACAGTGTGGTTGATTATTGTGGCCCATTACCGAAACCTCCCTCCCTCCTCCCGCTCCCCCCTCCCACTGCTCTCCTAATACTTAATTGCTAATTTGGCTATATTAAAATGTTGAAGTCGTTGCTGCATTATCTTTTAGCTACCAGTATTATTGTTGAGAAGTCTAAAGCCATCTTGATTTCTTATCTTTTGTGCCTGATCTCTTTTTCTCTCTTTGAAGCTTTTACGATCCCTCATGTTCTGAATTTTCATAAATATATGCCTCATGCAGGCCTTTTTTCTTCATTGAGTTGGATATGTGTAGGCCCTTTTAATCTGTAGATTCATTTCCTTCAATTCTGGGGAATTTTCTTGCATTTTTTCTTTATTTTCTTTCTTCCATTTTCTGTGTTCTGTTTCTGGAATGCATATTATTTGGATATTGGCCCTTGTGGCCTGATCCTCTTAATTTTCTTTTCCTACCATTTTCTGTCTCGTCTTTCAGTTCCACTTTTTAGGAGATTTATCTTCCAAACCTTATAAGTGTACTTTTTATTTCTGCTAATAATATATGTATCTTCCATAAGCTCTTTTTTATTCACTGAATGCTCCTTTTTATAGCATGTTGTTCTTATTTCATGGATGTAGGCTTATTCATTTTAGTTATTTTAAAGGTTTCTTCTCCCTTCGTTGTCTGTGCTTCTCCTGAGTACCTTTTTAAATGTGGGTATTTCAAAAAGTTGGTGGAAAAATAGAATTAAAGATAATACTAATCTTTCCCTGAACTTTTAAAAATATCCTTGTATTTGTTTATTTTGTTCTTTTAAGGTATTAGTTTTCCTTGTGTATGGTGAACTTTGGTTGTTATTCACTTTTAAGAGTGAGGCACAAAGAGCTCATTGGAGTTCTTTCTGGGAAAGTGGGGTTTGGGGCTCTCTTAGGTGTGAGACTGATGATCATAAAGGGACTCAACTATTTTATTAGAGTTCCTGTTTGGTCAGTGTCTGTAATTCTTCTCTTTTAGACTGATTAGTTTCCCCAAGAGTTATCCTCCAGTCTCTAGCCTGGGGAGCATAAGCCTAACTGCCGGTATTCTCAAAGCTGAGTGGAGAAGATAACAGGTTTTCTCCTTCTTATAACATGTAGGCTTTTAGTTATTTCTTTTTTTTTTTTTTTTTTTCCTTTTTGTCTTTTTTCATGATCGGCAACGGATCGCAACCCTCAGTGTCGTGCCCGTACTGGACTGGGACCGGCAACCCTCAGTGTTGCACCCGCACCTCTCTCAGCCAGTGAGCGGTCAGTCTGTATGTGGGATCCGAACCCTTGGCGGGAGCGCCGCAGCGCTCCCAAGCGGCGCACTGTAACAGTGCGCCACCGGGCCGGCCCAAGGCTTTTAGTTATTTCACCTGTTTTCAGTAACTTTCTTCATCTCCTTCAGCATCCTCAAGTCTAAAATAAAGGCCTTCTGATTTCACCCAAAAAGACCCAGCCTAGTCTTCTGCCGGTGTTAGGGAGAGGTAGTGGCCAAATTGTATTGGTTTGGGCCAGGGATCTGGGAATCCTTAAATGCAGACTTTTAACTCATTCTCCTCTTCAGCCCCACTTACATTCTCATCTTTAAGGTCATCTAGTGCTTTCCATTCCTGACCTGTCTGTGGCTCTATGGCACAAAATGTCTTTCTTGTTGGCTTCTCTCCTCTGTCTACTCCATAGTGCCAAATAGTTGCTTTCCGTTTTTACAGGTCATATCAATCTACTTTGAAGCTTCTAAAATGTTTTGAATTCCAATTCTGCTGTTGTCCCTTTCCAGTTCATTTTGTCTTTGTAGGTTTTTTCCCCTCAATCCATACTCTTATTTTGGTGGGATTTCAGGAGGTATTGAAGGCAAACTGGTGTTTAATTTGTCTTGTTCAACCAGACATTCCTACATAATCTTTTCTATTTTCATTTTTTTGTTTTGATGGATGGCTGATACATGTGAACCCATGACCTTGGTGTTATAAGGCTGCACTCTAACCAACTGAACTAAACAGCCAGCCTATTTTCATTTTTAGTGACTGTATTTTCTCCAGTGAATTTACCATGGTTTATTCATTTACCTATTTTTTGACATGTAGATGATTTCTAATTTATTACTACTGTAATCCTACAAAACACATCTTTCATTCTGATAACTCTTTTTTATGTTATTTTCTTGGAATAAGAATAAGATAGAAATGTTTAAACACATCTTGCTTTCTAAAAAGAAGACTGTACCAAATTTGAATACCAGCAGGGTATGTGATTATCCAGATTGCCATATTTATTATATCATTGCTAGTTTCACCATATAAAAGTCGTTTTGACAGGCTAAAAAGAAAGGTACCTCCTTTTGTACTGATTAATTTTTAAATATCCTTCACAGAATTGAAATAAGTTGTTATTCTACTTTAAGTTTTTATTTAGAGCATTTATTACTTTTGTAATTTTTAAAAAACAAAAGTAATACATAGACATTATCTTTTAATTGGAAAATAAACCATAATATAATGAAGAAAATTAATTAATTGCTGGTAATTCCACTACACAGAGCTAATATTTTGATAATTTTGTGTGTGTGAGAGAGTGAGCATGTGCACGAATACATCTGTATAATACACATAATCACTCTTTAAAAAATTAAGAATCATAATATATTTGTGACTTGATAGCCTGATTTTTTAAAATTTATCATTTTGTGAACATTTTCTCTTGTCATTAATTATAATTATGGAATATGCCCTAATGTCTAGTTCACTGTATGGGTATACCATTATAAACATCCTTTAATACAAGAGATTATGACATGTAATGCTGTGAATTTATAATCAACAATTTATGTAAAAAGACTTTGACTGTACCTGCTGTATTTAAGAGTTAGAAAAAATAAAAAACTTATCTCTCTCCTTTTTTGGTATACTCTGCCCTAAATCCTTATCTTAAAGATTTATTTATTTATTTTTATTTAATGTTTAGATAGAAAATTATTTTCCCAACATAGAAACAAAGGAAAACATCACAAATTAAATTTAAAGTCAACTGTAAGGAACAAATTTACCACACAAAGCTTAGCATCCTTAATGCAAAAAGAACTCTTAAAAATGAATTAGAAAAATCTAAGCAGAAATTTGGTGAAGGACATGAGCAGAGAAGTCACACACCCCAAAGAAACACACATAGCTAATAAGTACATTCTAAGATGTTGTTGCAGGGGGGTGGGGGTGTGTGGAGGGGCTGGCCCTCAGCCCCTGTCTCAGGACCTGGGGCGGCTGGCTCCGTTGCTTGCCTGGTTGCAGGCAGGGGCAGAGCTGAGGCCCTGGGCCCCTGTCTCAGGACCCCGGCAGCTGGCTCTGTTGTTTACCTGGTTTTGGGTGGGGGCAGGGCTGAGGCCCTGAGTCCCATCTCAGGACCCTTATCTTAAATATTTAATTTGTTAATAATTCTCGCACTCCCACTTATTCTGAACTGGCATATGATATTAATTTTTTCTAACCCAATAAAATTTTGTGGGTTGTACTTTGTCATAAATGTAATGTCTGTTTTTTTGATTAATGTCAGTATTCTGCCCTTTAGTTTATGAGCTCTTGTGGGAAACTTTAGGCTCAGTGAAGTTTTCATTTTTTCTGGATATTACCTTTCCATAGAGTACCTAGGGGAAATAGTACTGCTAAAGTGCTTTCACTATCAATGTGTTTAGAGTTTAACTCAAATGTATTTCTACATATACTGAAAAGGCTTAGGGAATTTGTTATATTTAGTATAAATTTAAAATATGTATTATAAAACCCACTATTCTCATCATGCAAACACACATGCATTTTAAAAAATATTATTTCTTGAATATATTCTCATGATTCAGAATGCAAAACAATATAAAAAGGTAGACATTGGGACATCTGGGTCCTATCCCATCTTTGTCCACTCCATTTCTCTCCTCTTCCCCATATGCAAGGGGTCTTCAAAAAGTTCATGGAAAGATTCGTATTATCTTTTAATTCCATTTTTCCATGAACTTTTGAAGTACCCTCATAGGTAATTAGTTTTCTTAGTATCTTTCCAGTATTTCTTTATGTAAATATAAGCAAAAATGAATATATGTTTTTATTTTCCTCTCTTTCATACTCGAAAGATAGTATACTATATATATACAATGATTTGCACCTTGCCATTTTCACTTAATTATCTTGGAGCTCTTCCTAGAATAGTTTGTAGGGAACTTGCTTTTTTTTTTTAATAGCTCTTTAGTATCTATTTGTGCAAATAGTTTATTTAACCATTCCCCTGTAGATGAACACTTGGCTAACCAATGTGTTTTTTTAAATATATGTTTTTTAAATTCCTTCAGGTGGATATGGACAAGAGTGGTGAAGTGCGACTTATAGAACTGGATGAATCTTTCAAAAGTGAACATACTGTTTTTGTAACACCACCTGAGATCCCCCACCTACCCAGTGGTGAAGAACCCCCTTTACAGTACAGGTATTCAAGAGGCACAATGTTTGAGATTGAAAGAGAGAAGCAATTCATCATCTGTGACATAGCTAACTAAGGACTGTGATATTTTCAAAAATCCAAACTTTACAGATTCCTAATTTTTAGGTGGTAAGCAAGCTTATCCCACATCCATTATTAAGATTTGAGGTATAAACACAAAATATATATACTTTTGTGTAATTAGACTTGGGAGGCTCTCTAATTTTATGTCTGCATAAGTATCTATCATCATAAATGTTGATTAAATTCAGGTAGACTTCTCCCTTCAAATGAAGCACTTTTATTATAGAATTTTGATTTTTGTTTCTCACTAAAGCTGGTTTCCTCACTTTCACCTCCTCTTTTCATCCTATATACACATTGATTAACCTTAATTTACAAAAACACTAAATCTAATTTAGAATCAATATTTATGGCCTGGATTTATGTGATATAATTTTTTAAGCTCTTAATTTTTCCATAAGTTTTTATTTTAAGTCATGGAAATTCAGAATTATTAGAATTGATCATTGTTAATTTAGGAAATTTAGTTAGACACTGTGCTAAGTGCTTGGTATGTAGACTTGAGCAATATATTGTGCCTGTCTTTAAGTCTAGTGGAGAAGAGAGAAAAGACCTTAGCACAGTAAAATAAGGGCTACGGTAGAGGTAGATTTACTATTTAGTGTCTAGTATACTTTTATTTTTACTTAAAATTGTATTTCCTTTTAGACTTTAAGTAATTTTGTATTCTCCATTCTGACTTTATTTAAAGATTCTAAAATCATTTCACATGTATTTTTCTTGGAGTCACAGTTTGTTATTTTCATTGAAAGAGGATTTTTCAGGACATCCTCATTTATGACTTGGATTAAATTCTTCATCTAACAGATGAAAAAGTAGTGCGACATGTTTGTGAATGTTGATTAATTCAGAGGGCTCATGATTCCTGCTGTTTTCATCCAGTGATATATTACTCATATCAACTCTTTAAAAAGTCTGTCTTTTATCAAAGATATTTAAAATATTTCTCTTGATTTCTTTCTAAACAAGATTTTTTTCCTTTGATCTCTGCACTTCTTAGTCTTCTTTAGATATGTTTCATTAATATAGTTTTGGTTTGGTTTTCTTTATATAGTTTGGTTTTAACTTTTTTTTTTTTTCTCTTTTTTTTTGTGGCATCTGGCCAGTAAGGGTATCCAAACCTTTGGCCTTGGTGTTGTAACACCACGCTCTAACCAACTGAGCTAACCAGCCAGCCCTTAACTTTTTAATTTAAATTTTACTTTTTGATTTAGTCCTTTAATAAGAAAATTACTTAGCTTAAAAAGTTCCCATTTTTTAAAGAGTCTGAGTCATTTTTTTCTTGAGACTACCAATATAATTTTGGTGTAATCATAAGCAGCATTGGAAAAACAAATGCCTTTAATGAGCACACTGTGTCCTCTAAGAGATGACTCATGTACTTACATTGTGTGTGTAAAATGACGAGGTATTTCCATAAGGCACACAAAATGGTCTTATTATTACACCGTATACATACAATGATTTTTAAAGGACATGGTTTTCCTGAAGATCTTTGCTGTTTTATTTCCACTCACCTTTTCAATCATTACTAATTTTTTTATTTTACTGTATTTGCCTATCATAATATATAGTAAATATTGTTTACCATCTTTATTATAGTTACATTTCTTCTTAGTTAATTGAAACTATTTTTATACCTTTAAGAATATTATAAAGTAGATTGTTTGTTGTTCAGGGGCTGCATCTGTTCTTCTCAGCATGTCTTTTTCTTATCGGCTACCTTTTAAATGCCCAGGACACCCTGCCCTATATAGGCCTGTCTCCTCTTACAGCCACCCATTCTAATCTTTCGTCCTCTTCTCCTACCTCTTCAATTTCCTTTCTCATAAATTAGGCCCTGGGCCTGCTACCTAACCTGAAACCAATTCATGATAAAGTGAGAGCTAGGCCTGATGTACCAATGTGTTAAACCTAAGTTGTTATTTGCCTACTTTCTAAGAGGGAGGATCTACAGTAAATATGTTAATCCAATATAATGACTGTCCTATTTGAAAGAGTACTGATTTAGTGGGCCCTTTACCAACTGTCATGTTATCTAATATGTTTGCTCTGCATTTACTAACTTTTAAAAGTTTGCTTGAGTTACTTTGGAGTTTGGTGTCAAGTTCAGCAAAATTTAAACACACTTCCCTTTTTTTTTCCCACAAAATATATACTCGAGTCTGTATTTGGCTATTGCATTTCTAAATATGATGGTAAGAAAAGCAACATTAGCATGAATATTTGTTGAGTATATGAGGGTACTTCAAAAAGTTCATGGAAAGATTTGTATTGTCTTTCAGTTATATTTTTTCATGAACTTTTTGAAGTATCCTCGTATATCATAGTCTGATTGAGAAAGATAATTAAACTTTTTTTTGGCACGGGGATCCAAACCCTTGACGTTGGTTTTATCAGCACCGTGCTCTCCCAAATGAGCTAACTGGCCAGCCCTAGTTAAAATGAACTCAAAGTTAAGAAGTTATTGATCATAATTTTTTTTTTTAGCTTGTAACCACTATGATCATCTTTGTGTGCTTGAGAACTTTTTTCTTTTTTAAAACAGCTATAATGAATTTCCAGTTCTTAAGAACAACTTATTTGAGAGACCTGAAGGATTTCTACAAACGCAAAAGAGCAAATTGCCTTCAAAATCAAGTAGTCCTAGTAGCCCTTCTCCCATGTTCAGAAGAACAAAACAGGTGCTTCAAAAATTTCGTATTTTCCATGTAATCAAATATTAGAACAAGATGTAAATTTGACACTCATTCTCCCTTAATATACTTTACCACCCTATTTATAACTATTACTAGATTATTATGCTCCCCCAAGCATTCTGAAGATAGTTTAGACTAATCTGACTTAAAGAAATTAACTAGTTCTCTTGTCCTAGAACTTTGTTTAATATTGTATAATACAGATTCAAACAGAGGCTTGGAAATATGTTAATTATAGATAGATTTTGTTAAGAAAACATTATAAAAGCATGTGACTTGTACTTGTTTGGCATTCAGTTAAATAAGGATGCCTAAGTGTATAAATTTATTAATGAGATCCTTGTATTTTTTTCTAGGAAATTAAATCAGCTCATAAAATTGCAAAGAGGTATTCTTCCATCCCTCAGATGTGGTCTAGGTGTCTACTGCGTCACTGTTATGGACTGTGGTTTATTTGTCTCCCAGCTTATGTGAAAGTATGTCATTCAAAAGTCAGGGCTCTGAAAACAGCCTATGATGTGCTGAAAAAAATGCATTCAAAGAAGATGGATCCACCTGATGAGGTAACATCTATTTTTTTTTAACTTATTATTTTATTATACATTTATGTACATAAATATCTTTGTACGCTTTTTAACTTGTGTTTCAGGTGTGCTACCGCATTCTTATGCAGCTCTGTGGACAGTATGATCAGCCAGTGCTTGCAGTTAGAGTGCTTTTTGAAATGCAGAAGGCTGGTATTGACCCCAATGCCATTACTTATGGTTATTATAATAAGGTAATTGTTTTGATTTAATGGAGAAAGTATGGCAAGAATAATTGAATCAGAGGTTATTTGGCCTTTATTTTAGAGTATATAATATATACTTTGTAAATCATTTAAGACTTTTTGTTCTTTTTGTGTTATACAGTCTACTTTGATATTCTTTAGCTTGATTCAGAAGCCAATGTGTGTTAGTTTTTAACAATTATTTTACTAATTATTTTATTTTGTTCAATGAATAGGCTGTTTTGGAAAGTACTTGGCCTTCAAGAAGTCGTAGTGGCTGTTTTCTTTGGACAAAAGTAAGAAATGTTGTTTTAGGAGTAGCACAGTTCAAAAGAGCTTTAAAGAAATGTGCACACATATCGCAAACAACTCTCTCAGGTAATAAAATGTTTTCAAGGATATTTGTGTTTAATTTTTCTTCAAAATTTAATTGCCTAGTTGCATTTTATATTTTTAGAAACTAAATGGTTTTAAAATATTGAATATTTTCTAGTTTTTATTGCCATTAAGCAAATTCTAATATTAGAATGCTCTTCCAATTTAAAAAACACCAGGTCTTGGGCCAGCCTGTGGCTCACTTGGGAAAGTGCAGTGCTAACACCAAGGCCACGGGTTTGGATCCTATATAGGGATGGCCGGTTCACTCACTGGCTGAGCGTGGTGCTGACAACACCAAGCCAAGGGTTAAGATCCCCTTACCGGTCATCTTTAAAAAAAAACAAAAACAAAACACCAGGTCTCACTTTTGTTTCAGCTGTTGAATTACCAGCCTTTGGTGGTCTTGTTTTAGTGTTTGTTAATAACTCATCATAGGTTTCTTTGCTATAGTTATGTTTTGCTAATTATGTGGAACTTTTCCCATTCAGTATTCTATTAGTAGATTATTAGCTTGAGCAACAGATTAATGTGTATTTTTGGTATTTCCTTGAGTAGTAAAATACTATCAAATTGTGTTCTTAAGCAGATGGCAGTGACCTGGATGCTGTTAGTCATGGCAGCATGGATAGTGGTCATGGGACACACACTGTGGAGCAGGCACCCTTTAATACGGGTTTAATCAAAGTATATGCTACTGATGATAGATCTAGTACAGGTTTGTGTATGCTTATGTATACATTTATTATAGTACATTTTAAAACTAGATTTGCTAGCCTGTATTTTTAAAATTTTTATTTTTAGTCATATGTTTAACTGTTACTTTTTAATTTTATGTATTAGGTACTTGGTTTGATATTGAACTTAATAACTAAATGCAATTTTATTCATTCTTTATTTGAATGGAAATGAAAGCTTAAGAGCGGTTATAAAGTACTTTATTCAATAGTTGTTAGTCCATGGTAATCCAACTCTGGTTAGCTCACAGATCTCTTTACCATATCATTTTCTTAGGAAAAAATTTTTTAATTATGAAAATGTTATTAGAGTTTAAAAAAATAGCTCTGTATCTGAGTTACTAGTATTGTACTAGTATCGTATTGTTTTAACAATGTACTATGGTTATGTAAAATATTATCGGAGGAAGCTAGGTGTAGGGTACCCAGGAACTCTCTGTACTTTACTATATTTGCAACTTCTGATTCTTAAATTATTTAAAAATAAAAAGTTATAAAAAATTTTTTTAATATATAAAAACATTCTAGCACTAAATATGGCATTAACTTATTGAAATATAAGATTTGTACATAAACTTTTTCTGTTGTTAAAACTGATATGCTTAAATTCCTTGCATAATTCTGTCCTTTTCATTATTACATTTAAAAAATTACAGATGACTTTCAAATATAGTATAAATGGGAGCTCTTAATGGACAGAAACTTTAAAAACTAAAGCATCACTAATAAAATATGAAGTCTTCGATCTCTGCAAATGGCAACATTATTTTGATCTGTCTCCTTTTAAGCCTACTTTTAAGATTAATAAATGTAAGCTAATTGTGTTGAAATTTAGTTATTCTTCCTTGCCTGATTTTTACTACTTGATCATGCAATGTGAATTTAATCAGAGTTATAGTAGCCATCCTCAGGCATTATCTCTTAAAAATGAAGAAATTTGTCTTTTATTTTTAACTGTGGCTTTTAAAAGGCTATCTTAAAACAGTGCAGAACCTAATAAAAGCATGAGTTTCATCAAGATTATCTTCAGATTTTTCTGTTTGTCATTTCTTTGGAAATGGTTCTGAAAGTTTGATTAGAAAAACTACAAACCAAAAATTATAACAGGTATTAAGATCATTACCTAGTGATAATACAGTTTCTTTAGGTAGTGTTTCACAAGTTTATAAAACCATTTTAATGTGTAGTCTCATAGATGATAACAACATTGTCTTTTACAAATCTGGGAATTTGAGACCCAAACAAAAAGGTTAAGTGGTCTACTTAAAATTACATGTCTCCTAAAACCAGGAACTAGGATTCAAAACCTTGTCTAATCTACTAAAACAATTTGCTAAAAATTACATAGAACTTCTTTAACAAAACAATGTATTAGAAGTTTTCTTATATTGATGTAGCTTTTGCTTTTCTTGACAACAACTTTTTTTAAACAATGTTTAACATTAGATTTTTTTTCTCATTCCCATATATCTGTACTTATTCAGCTGAATTTTCAGAAAAATTAATTACTTTCCAGTTAATTTAAAGAAACTCATTTTTTTGGTAAAATCATTTAGACATTCAGCTCCAGTGATCTCTGTGTGAAATGTTCTGTTATGAATTCCCTGCCTATTTCTCTTCTCCATTGCTTAGATGTAAATCAGACTTTCACTTAGAAAGGTCATAGACTTGTATAATGAATATCTAGTTTGTCTCTGTCTTTTGGAGATCACATCATAGTGTGAATGTATATGGTTACTTTTGACTGCTATGTGGAGCCAAAAGTAGATTATTTTGTTATCATCTCTTTCTTACATTAATAGAGATGCGGAAGGGGTAGCTAACAAAATTAGCTTTCAAGTCAGAAGTTATCCAGAAAAATTTCTATGAGTAAATCCAAACACTAATATGTTGTTCCTACTTTCAGTCACTCTCACTAAAGAAGTTTAAGATAAATAACATAGGTTTTGTTTATTTTTTCCCTCAGGTGGCCAGTCTGATCTTGGATATAATTCATTATCTAAGGATGAAGTTAGAAGAGGGGATACATCTACTGAGGACATTCAAGAAGAAAAAGATAAAAAAGGGAGTGATTCTAGTTCCTGTAGGTATAAGTTGATACTGTATAAAATCATGAACTTATATTAATAGAAAGTATAAGTAATTTTAGGTATAAAAGTACTAGTTTTACTTTCCTTTTTCTCATTAAAGTTCTTTCTTTCCAACCATTACAAGCCCTTTCTACCATCTAATACTTTCATACAAATGTTTCATGTATGAAGTGTATAGCCTCAGAGGCAAAACACTCTCCAATCAAATACTATTAAAGTGAATGCTATATAATTCCTAAGATACTCTTATTTTAGTAGAAATATATATTTCTTGAAACAGTGACTCTTTTCAAAGTTTTAACAATATTTTTATTTAAAGTTTGTTGATGGACTATGGCTTATATTTACCTCCTTCCCTTCTCCACCAAAAGCTCTCTTTCACAGCCAAAGAGGAAATACAAAATTTGTGCATGGAACTCATGCATGACTGGTATTTAGTAATTTGATCCATGCTTTGAGGCCTCAAATAAGTGGAATGGCTTATTTGTACTTGACAAATATATAGAGAGGTGTTCAGTGTTTTCTTAACATCACCTGTTTTCATGTTGATATTTAGAACTAAAAGCTGCTTCTCTCTGTGCTCCTACAATGTATATAGATTTCATTTTATTAACATTAACATGTTCATTTTCATCTTTATAGTGTCAGAGAGTGAGAGTGCGAAAGGAAGTACTGATTGCCTTCCTAAGCTCAATTATCAAAGTTCTTCCAGTATAGTTCGCCTCAGCAGTACAAGTAACAACAGTGCTAATAAAATATCAGGAGAAAGCACAGGTGAGTTGAATTGTATACCTCTGTTATGTGCAGAATAAATTGTATCTGTATGTCTAGTCAATATTTATTTTTTTAAACAGCCTTAATTCTCTAGAGTTATTTTTTTTTTAATTTATTTAATAATTTTTTTTTCCTTTTTTTACATTTTAAGATGTTGTTGTGGAGCAGTTGGGAAGGGGGAGAGTGGAAGGGGGAAGGAAGGGCATGGTTGAGGCCTATGGCATCCCCCTCATTCCTGCAGGGGAGATGAGGGGGCTTCCAGCAGTGGCTTGTTGTTGCAGATGCCAGGGGGGTGTGGCTGAAGCCCTCAGTCCCCCATCGCCCTGGCTCGGGAGCCTGGGGTGCTTCCTGCAGCGGCTTGATAGTCATCACTGGGCTGGTTGTGGGAGTTGGGGGCTGGGAGGGTATGGCTCAGGCTCCCAGTCCTCCCCCATCCCTGGCTTGGGAGCCCAGGGGGCTTCCGGTCCTTCTAGGTTTTAAAGGTGTTCTTTGGTGATGTGAAACTTTTACGAGTTAATATCAAACTTTGTCTCTGGCCTGTGGGTATTTTGTTTTTTCTTTCAGTTCTGTGTTGGATTATTCGCTGTTCCCACCACTTAAACTCTGCATTGGAACTAATTTGTTGTCCTTTGCTTACTTCTAAAATGGGGGAACTTCCTGTGAGGACCAGTGCTTGAGCCCTGTAGTTGAGCTAAATTGCTGCTTAGCTGCTGATTGCCTGGGGAAGGCTTTTTGTACAGCTCAGGTTTTAATTGTTGATCTTGTATGTACTTTTGGGTCTTGGAAGTTCCAGTGCACCTGGGTTGTGTGGAAACTGTTCTGGGCCTGAGACTTTTCAGCAAACTGCACCCCTTGCAGATCTGTATCCCTGACTAGTCTCCACTGAGTGGTCCTGCACTGATTGGGGGCAGATCAGCTGTCCATCCTGTGCCCCAGTGTTCCTGCCACGGGCCCATCTCCCCCACTGCACACACTCCAGACACTCCCCATGGGACGGGCTGTGTGCCAGTCCTTTGTGATGACTCACCAACCTAAGTGGCTCTTTTTTTCAGTTGTTGTGGCTCCTCACTCCTGTGTGGATCCACAGGAACCCTGTTAGTGGTCTTGATGGCCTGAGGGCCACCAAGGCCCTCTTCTCCCCTGCGGCCTGCAAGCAACTTGATCCAAAGGGCACAGCTGCAGCTTTTTCCAGCTCTCACTCCATGTGCTCACCAGCTCCAGCCTTGAAGTGGCTGGGATTTGAGGTGGTTTCTTTCTCTCATCGTGGCTTCTCCCGCCTTTGTGAACTCCATAGGTCTCTCTTCCTCTTCCCCTCAGCTCTAGCGGCCCCAGTTTGGCTATCATTGCTTTTTCTTTTAAATTTTATTTTATTAAAAAGATGACTGGTAAGGGGATCTTAACCCTTGGCTTGGTGTTGTCAGCACCACACTCTCCCAAGTGAGCCACAGGCCAGCCCTTGTTGTTGCTTTTTAATAGTTGTAAATTGGTTGATTTGTGGGAGAGAGTGACTCTGCGGACTGTCTATTCCGCCATCTTGATGGGAAGCCTCCAGAGTTTTGTTTAAAATATATTCGTGCAACCTCTCATGGCATAGCTTAGTAGCTTGAGTTCTGTGTTTTGTAACATACGTTGTTCAAGCTTTTATCATAACAAAGCATAGGGACAAGCCACCAAACTATATACTGTACTATCTTTTGAGTTTGGATTGTTGGGACTTTTTGGGAGGGGGAAGAGGCAGTAGGAGAGGTGATGAGTTTGAGGGACCATACACCTTACCCAGTTTTTAGATGGAGCTTTGGTTCTTAGTCTTCATATTGTTCCTGTTTTTTCAGAGGCAAAAGAATAGTTCTTCAGATCAGTTAGGAAATAATAGCCATTTTTAGTTTTCAAAGTACTTTTTATATATTATTGTATTTTTATTAGTATAGCAGTGATTATATTAGTGAGAGGGGATATATTAGCTCATTTTTGCATTACATGATTGAATGAAAGTGAGCTGAGATGCCAGGTACCGTTCAAGCTTTATTAAAGAAAGAAATCTGCCAGGCTGTACTCAAAATGGAGGATAGCCCAGGGCTGCCCTGAAAATGGTAGACAGCACCAGATGTTGGCACCAAGAGCTGGGTGATGTAATTCCAGGGTGGGGATTGAGTTAGGTCATGGGAATAGAGAGTTCTGCGTGCATGCGGAAACACTGAAAGTTTCATTTTCTCCAAAACCACGAGGCTTCTTGTAAAAGAGAACGGGGGAGGGGAGGAGATGGACGGTCCCATTTTCTACTTGGGCTTCTCTAAGATGGCTCTGGTTATGTTGCAGATCTATTAGTTATAATCTAAAAAATATTGATGAACTTGTGTGTCAAGTCTCAATTATCTCTGTTTGTAAGTGGCCTTGCTTCAATTATGTTGATTTCTGCAGTATAGTTAGATAGTGCTCTAGCTCAGAGGTAGGCAAGCTATGGCCTATGGGCCAGATTTGGTGTGCAGCCTATTTTTGTACTAGCCCACAAGATTTCAATAGTTCTTACATTTTTAAATGGTTGGAAAGTAATCAAAAGAAGAATAATATTTTGTGGCATCTGAAAATTATATAAAATTCAAACTTCAGTGTTCATAAATAAAGGTTGCTGGAGCACAGCCATGCTCACTTATTTACATATTGTCTCTGGCTACTTTTGAACCACAACAGCAGAGTTGAGTAGTTGTAACAGAGACCAAATGGCTGGCAAAGACTAAAATACTTACTATCTAGCCCTTTTCAGAAAAAGTTTGCCGAACCCTGCTCTAGGTATCCAAACAAACAAAAATTTAGATGATCTATAAATCTTACTTTGCATTTCTTTGTTATAACTTAAACATTTCAAAAATTATTTGTTGGTATCGTGGAATTGCTTTACAACCATTTAGTCCTACCTAACCATTTTCTAATTATAACCCTTAATAACTTGCCTTTGGTGGTCTTTGTTTTATTATTTATCTATTACTATCTGTTCATGCTTGCCTTTTTCCTAAGATCTGCTTTAATGGAATTTTTATTTAAATATGATTGTAAACCACCCTTTGATCCTGACATTTTGTCAGAGTAATAGGCATTTGACTGATCATCTGGCTTTCACTTACTCTATATATTTAACAAGCCAATTTTATAAAAGCCTATACTAGATTTCTTTGGCGTGAAGTAGAGTTGTTAATTTATCCTTGATATTTTTGGCTTGTAAACTTTCCCATCTGTTTAGTACTATGGGTTTGTCACTACTGCCAAAGACTATATATGGGATTTATAGGAATACTTATTTTTCAATAACTTTTTTCTTTTATTGTATACTACTACATACTAGGATTTAAAGAATTTTTCAGGTTTATATATGTTTCGCAGTACAATATAAGGATATTTATTTATATAATTGGACACACTTATATACATACAATTGACAGCTTTTATAAGATATAGGGGTAGAATAAACAGAGGTATTGTAATGTTTGATTGGATGTTGAAATAAAATCATCACCCTGCAGTACTTTCATGGTTATCTTGAGAATTTAATGTTTTGACAATATATATTAAATTATTGAGAGTTCAACCACAGGAAAGTTTAAATCTGAAATGTTTCTCTAAGCCTACTTCTGGTTTTAGTAAGCTTTTAATTTTTTTATCTTTAGCTACACAAATATAATATGTGATATTATATTATAATATGTCATATTGTAATATATTATAATGCATTATGTTCTGGGTTGGTCTGCTGGCTGCAGTTGATGCCCAACAGACAGTATTCATTTAGTAAATATTTCTTGAGCTCCTATATTCTATGATATGTCAGGTGCTCCTGGGGATATAAGAAACATAAATAAATATGGCTCCTGTCTTCATGGAGAAGGCATTTGGGAGGAATAGGAAGATGTTAATCAAATAACCAAGTAAATGTAAAAATGCTGAGAGATTAAATACTGTGAAGAAGGGCAATAAGTTGCCCTGAGAACATATAATAGATGTGTTCTGGATTGGGGGACATTGGTCAAGGAAGGCTTCCTTGCGAATATGATTTTTGATCTTTGATCAGAAATATGAATAGAAAATAAATGAGGATAGAAGTTGGGAAGGAGGAATTTAGAAAGTGCATCCCAAGCGGAGGGAAGCATATGTAAAAGGCTGTGTGATAGGAAGAAATCACAGCATGTTCAAAGATCTGAGAAAAGGCTAGTGTAGTATATCAGCTAGGAAGTCTTTCAGCTTTAAGTCTCAGAAAATATTAACAGTGGCTTAAACAAATTGAGGTCTACTTTTCTCAAATAAGAAATTCAAAAGTAGTTTCTCTAGATGTTAGTTCAGGAGCTTTGCCATCAGTTCTCTTGACTTAAACATGATTAAAACATGGCCACCGGCAACTCCAGGCATCACCAATATGTTCAAGGCAGAAAGAATGGGAAAGTGGAGCACCAGCCACATCTATTGGTTTTGTCAGGAAAGCAGAAGATTTTCTATAAACCCTCAAAAACTATCACCATAATACCATTGGCCAGAATTATGTCATAGAGCCACCTAGCCCAAGAAAGTTAGTTTGCATCCTCTGTGTTATGAGACATGCAGCATCCAGACTAGTCTGGTAAAATTTAGCATGTGTGTAAACTTAGAATTAGGGAAACTTTTCTGTAAAAGGCTAGATAGTAAATATTTTGGGCCTTGCAGGCCACATACAATCTGTTACCTTAGTCTTTATGTGTGCCTGATTTTTAGTACCCTTTACAAATGTAAAAACAAGTTGAGATTATACAAAAATAGTCCTTAGGCCAGATTTGGCTCAGGGGTGTTGTTTACCAACTCCTTGGAAAGTCTGATAATCAGCCTTATTTGTCTTCAGGCCATAGCATAGTACTGACTTTGCAAAGGAACCCTTACACATCTATTTAAATGCAGTTCCAGAATACTATCTCTGGATTATAAGATTCCTTCAAGTCTTTGATAATGTTTAACCTGTCAAGCAGAAAGTCTTCCAGAATATCAAAAGAAAAGTATATTCTTGGGCTGGCTGCTTAGCTCAATTGGTAGAGTATGGTGCTGGAAACACCAAGGTTAAGGGTGTGGATTCCCGTACAGGCTAGTTGCCAGGGGGTAAAAAAATAAAGGAAAGTGTATTCTTGGTTTCTTTTTTCCTCAATCATAAGCTGATACAGAAAAAAAGAATAAACATTGCCTCTTTGATATGCTGTTTTCCTTGTTAATGGTATATGCCTATTAAACATTAGACTGTAGGCTTTTATGATCTCTAGTATTCCCTTTTATCTCATCTTACCACCTGCATGCATCACATTGCAGAAAAAGGCACATTTTTAATAATTGCCTTGTTGTAGGGAGCTAATCCAGTTGGATAAAGCATGTAAGAAGAATAGTTGACAACAATATCATGCCTATACTAATGCTTCAGAAGACTCCCACTTAATAAGGACAATTAAAGTGATCAGAAATCTAGATTTCTGCTTTCAACATTGTTATCTAAGTAATTTGGTAGAAAACAATGAACAGTGTTTCTGACTAATGTGAAATGGTCATTCACATTTGACTAGTATAAACTTGTAATCAATATTTTAAGCAAAGGTAAAATTACTTAGCCACATCTATAGTCATAAGGATTTGGAATTTTTTAAAATAATTTTCATTTATGGATAAAATTACCATAGCTGCTGTTTGGTTTGGTGTTTGGGGGGTTTTCATTTTAATAAGCAGAAGACTCAGATTCTCAAGATCATCTAGCACAACCACAATTATATAACCATTGTTGTTTAATAAATTTACACTAATTCCACTAAATTAATTATCATTATTAAATATATATCTTAATTGATGTTTTTAAAAAGCAGTTCATCCTAATATCTAGGAGCATACCCTTTATGGTTAGACAAATCTGGATTTGAATCCTCGTTCTGTTACCTAAGTACTGGGTAACTCTGAGCTAGATAATTAATCTCTGTGTCTGTTTATCCCCAACCCAGAAGGATATGGGAATGTTTACAGCAGATAATACAAGTGAAGTGCCTAGTATAGTATCTGTCAAATAGCAGGCATTCAGTAAATACCTGTTATTATCATATCCATTACTAGAATTTAAAATTTTTAAGATGACTTTATTTGCACATTACATTTTCATGGCTAAAAATACTTCTTGTTTTTCAGAAAGCACACCTGAGCTGCTCTTAATATCGTCTCTTGAGGATACAAATGAAACAGGAAACATTCAAAGTAGATGCTTCAGGAAAAGATACAAAAGTGACAATGAATCTAATTTGCAGCAACAAATGGTCTGGGGAAATAGAAACCGTAATCTTAGTGGAGAGGTACTGATGGGATTTATGCTCAATAGAATTAACCAGGAAGCGAACCCTGGAGATATAGTTGAAAAATTAGGAGCTGATGCGAAAATTCTTTCAAATGTTATCTCAAAAAGCACAAGACCAAGTAGTCTTGATATTGGAAAGCCACCTTTAAGATCAAAAAGAGACAGTCTAGAAAAGGAATCTAGTGATGATGATACACCTTTTGATGGTTCTAACTGTTTGACAGATAAAGTGGATTCTCCTGTTATTTTTGATTTAGAAGACCTAGACATTGAAACAGATGGATCAAAAGCAGGATATGTTGCTACGCAAAATCCCAAGAGGATACAGCATATGAACAGCAGCTTTTCAGTGAAACCTTTTGAAAAAACTGATGTCGCAACAGGATTTGATCCCCTCTCTCTTTTGGTTGCTGAGACTGAACAGCAGCAAAAGGAAGAGGAAGAGGAGGATGAAGGTGATAGCAAAAGCATCTCAACGCCATCTGCTAGACGTGATTTAGCTGAAGAAATTGTGATGTATATGAATAACATGAGCAGTCCTTTGACAAGTCGGACACCAAGCATTGATTTACAACGGGCATGTGATGATAAGTTAACCAATAAGAAAAGTCCAATATTGGTCAAGGCATGCAGAAGATCCAGCCTGCCTCCTAATTCTCCTAAGCCAGTGAGACTTACCAAATCTAAAAGTTATACAAAAAGTGAAGAGAGACCAAGGGATAGACTGTGGTCTTCTCCAGCCTTCTCACCTACTTGCCCGTTTAGGGAAGAATCTCAAGGTTCATTAACCCATTCATCACCTTCATTTAATTTAGATACACTAATTGTACCTAAATTAGATGTTCTAAGGAACAGTATGTTCACTGCTGGAAAAGGAGTTGCAGAGAAAGCAAGCAAATGGTATTCAAGATTCACCATGTATACCACATCATCTAAAGTAAGTCTGTTAGTATTTGCTGCTTTTACTTTCACACTCCACGCCCTTCCTTCCCCCATCACACCTCCAAAAGTTCCTTACTTGTACCTTACAATTCTCCTAAAACACAGCTTTACAGAAAGGACTCATGGGATGTGTAAGGTTTGTAAGTATCATAAATCGAGCTGGAAGAATAACTTCAAAAGGAAAGAATTCACTAACTAAGGTTACATTTATAGTTCAGTTTTGAAAGACAGTGATTTGTAGGTGGAGTAAGAATTAGTGTTGTGTGAAACTGCTTACTGAGTTTTAATATTTCCTTCAAAATGCAGACTTTTCCGAGGCAGAATGTCTAGTATGCCTTCAAAAATTACCAGCCAGGCATTTGATTTCTCCACCTGGTTAGAATGGAGTAGCTTATGATAGACCTACATACCTCTCAAGAACAAAAAGCTAGACGAAATATAGAAAGTATCTGTTTAAAGTCATCTGCTAAAGAAACTAGAAAGCAGAGAGGCAGGATTCTAGAGAGAGGAGAATTGCAGTAGTGAGCTGAAGTTCTATAGCCACTTTTTCCTGAGGGTATTTGCTAACTATGAGCACTGAGTAGGAGATTGCAAATCTAGGCTTTGTCTTGTCGGGGAACTGAGGGGAAGTGGGTTAGGAGGGCCAGCAGAGCTTTTGGAACCTTACTGACTAGAGAGACAAAATTAGGAGACATGAGGGGCCTCAAATACACAGAAGATTTTTTGCTTCAAGACATATTCCAAATACTGATACTACATGAAACAGGTAAGCAGAAAGTCTCTGAAAATAAAGTTCTTAGCAGTTTTGTGGTGCTAGGAACATAATAGAGTTCTAGAGCTGCCAGGGGGAGGAGCTTTGGTGAATACATCAGGCCCTCAGTTGGAAATCTTGCAAAGCTATGTCTTAGGAGCACTGGCAAGCCAGAGGTAGACTGAGCCTGACCAAAACTGCAGCCTAGACATCACTCAGCATGGTCTGTGATTAGATTAAAATAATCAGCTTTTACACTATCGGCAGAAGAAAGAATGTACTCTTTCTGAAGGAATAAAACATCATCTGGAGCTCTTACAATTTTTTATATACAATGTCTGTTATTCAATTAAAAATAGCTATGCCAAGAAACAAGAATATAACTAAAAAACAGAAGAAAAACAGATCATGGAAACATCCTCAGGTGTTCCAGATATTTGAATTAGCCGGGACTTTGAAATAATTATAATATGTTCGAGAAAATAGAGGAAAAGTTGTAAAAAAGAAAAAAAAAAACAAAACCCAAACCTACAATTGGAAAATGTCAGCAGATAATTGGAATCAATTGAAAAGAATCAAATAATAACTAAAAAACCAGACAAATTATAAAAAACAACTATCTAAGGATTCTGAAAAATAAAAGCAGGTAGATTGTGGGGAGGGACCCACACAGAGATTATTTTCCCATTTTCTTTTCCCACTCATCTTTGCTCTGAGGGTAGTCAGATCATGGTTTGGCAGCTCTAGCAGCTAAAACTTCAAGAAAACCCCATATTTCTTGCACAGAGGAACCAGGGAAGGGGGCCTTTGTGGACTGGAAAGTTTGAGGGGAATCCCACACAAGTCTCAGCCTAACTCTTGACCTACACAAACGTAGAGGAAAACCAGCATAGGAAAATCTTAGAGAACTGAACTGAGGGTTAAGCCACTGCCTATAAAAAGTGAAACATGAATTAACAGTCTCAACATATTCAGTTGAGTGCCTGCTAAAACAAAAGCATCAACATTCAGGCTACACAACTTAATAGTCACAATGTCCAATATAAAATCCAAAATTACTAGCTAATAAAAAACCAGAAAAAGCACTTGGGAGCGCAATAGCGCTCCCGCCGCGGGTTCGGATCCTACATAGGGATGATTGGTGCTCTCACAGCGCTCACTGCCTGAGCGCGGTGCGGCTGGTCTCCAAAAAAAAAAAAAAACCAGGAAAATATGGTCAATTCTCAAGAGAAAGACAACCCCAAGATGACCCAGATGTTAGAAGAATCAGAAACATTAAAGCAGCTATTATAACTAGGTTCCCTGAGGTAAAGGAAAACATTTATTTGAAATGAAATAAAAGGAAAATTTATCTGAAATAAAAGAAAGGACTTCTCAGCAAGAAGTAGGAACTATTAAAAAGCCAATTTTATAGCTGAAAAACATAGTATTGAAATCAACTCATTGGATGAGTTCAGTAACAGAATGGAGATGGCAGCAAAAAGAGTCAGTGAACTTGAAGATTGAGTAATAGAAATTTGCAGTTGGAAGAACAGAAAGAAAAAAGAATTTTGTAAAAACAAACAGAGCTTCAGGGACTTATGGGACAGTATCAAAAGGTATAAATGGCATAGGTATAATTGGAATTCCAAAAGAACTGAAGAAAGAAATTGTGGCAGAAAAGATATTTGAAGAAATAATGGCTGAAACTTCCCAAATTTGGTAAAAGACATAAACGTACAGATACAAGAGACTCGGGCCGGCCCGTGGCTCACTCGGGAGAGTGTGGTGCTGATAACACCAAGGCCCCGGGTTCGGATCCCACATAGGGATGGCCGGTTCGCTCACTGGCTGAGCGTGGTGCTGACAACACCAAGTCAAGGGTTAAGATCCCCTTACCGGTCATCTTTAAAAAAAAAAAAAAAAAAAGACAGATACAAGAGACTCAGCAAACTACAGACAGAATAAACTCAAAGAAAACCACACTTACACTTATCATAAGCAGACTGCTAAAAAAACAAAGATATCCATCTGCTAATAAAAAACTGCTGGAAAAATAATTTTTTTTTTTTTTTAAAGACCAGTGGGGATCTTAACCCTTGCCTTGGTGTTGTCAGCACCATGCTCTCCCAAGTGAGCTAACCGGCCACCCCTATATAGGGATCCAAACCCATGGCCTTGGTTTTATCTGCACCACTTTCTCCCAAGTGAGTCACAGGCCAGCCCGGAAAAGTAATTTTTTAAGTCTTGAAAGCTATTATAGAAAAATTACACATTACCTAAACAGGAGTAAAGATTTGAGTGACCACACATTTTTTATAACAGTCCACGGAGGGAAGAATTCAGTGGAACAGCACCTTTTTAACGTATTGAAAGCAAAAACCTGTTAACCCAGAATTCTATATCGAGTGAAAACATTCAGGGGTGAAGGTGAAATAAGACATTTTCAGGTAAAGGAAAAGAATTAATGAACAGCAGCTTTGCTGTATAAGATATGCTAAAGGAAGTTCTTCAGACTGAAGAAAAGTGATACCAGAGAGGAACATGGATCTTCAGGAATGAAGGAAGAGCAAAAAGAAATGATAAAGAGCTTGGTAATATTTTTTAAAAACTACTTTTTTGCCTCTTAAATTTCTTAAAATACTTATAATTATCCAAAACAAAAATTATAACATTGTCTCGTGGGGTTTTCAATATATGTAGATGTTTGACAGCAGTAAAAGAATTACTCTGCTGACCTTCATTATAGTTATTATATATGAAGTGGTACAATACTAACTCTAAGTAGACTGTAAATGATTAGATATGTATATTGTAATCCGTAGAGCACCCACTTAAAAACATACAATGAAGCTAGCCTATTAGCTTGTTGGTTAGTGCTTGTAACACCAAGGTCCAGAGTTTGGATCCTTATACCAGCCAGCTGCCAATAAAAAGAACGAACAATGAGATGTAGCCAAAAAGCCAATAAGAAAATTCAAATAATCTTAAAGAGAGCAAGAAAGGGAAGACAGAGAAATAGAAAACTTAAACCCAACCATATCAGTAATTAAATGATAGTCATCTAAACATCCCAATTAAAAGGCAGAGATTAACAAAGTGTATTTGAAAAGTAAGACCCTACTATATGCTGCCTATTAGAAACATACTTTAAATATAAAGAAACAGGGTGAAAGTAAATGGATGAGTAAAAACTATGCCTTGCAAACAGTAAACTTTTTCTTTTTTTTAAAGATGACCAGTAAGGGGATCGTAACCCTTGACTTGGTGTTGTCAGCACCACGCTCAGCCAGTGAGCAAACTGGCCATCCCTATATAAGATCCAAACCCATGGCCTTGGTGTTATCAGCACCGCACTCTCCCGAGAGAGCCACGGGCCGGCCCTGAACTTCTTGCAAGGCATAATTTCTGTACCTGACTGTTTCTTTAAGAAGCTTTAAGTGGCTGTTTTAATATCATAGAAAGTAGACTTCAAGACACGATTACTAGAGACAAAGAGTGACATTTCATAATAAGACAGTTCATAAGGAAGATACAACAATTATCCATGTGACACAAAATCATAGTCTCCAAACAGTGACATAAAAATTGGCAGAATTAAAGGGAGTTTCAAAATTTTAGGAGATTTTAAGACCCTCTCTAATCAATTGATAGAACAGCTAATAAAAATTGGTCAAGACAGATCTGAACAACATCAGCTACCTTGATCTAATTGACATTTATAGAATATACATTCAGCGGGCCGGCCCGGTGGCGCACTGCTACAGTGCGCCGCTTGGGAGCGCGGCGGCGCACAATATACATTCAGCGGGCCGCCCCGGTGGCGCACTGCTACAGTGCGCCGCTTGGGAGCGCGGCGGCGCTCCCGCCGAGGGTTCAGATCCCACATACAGACCGGCCGCTCACTGGCTGAGCGAGGTGCAGACGCAACACTGAGGGTTGCGATCCCGTTGCTGGTCCCGGTCCGGTATGGGCGCGACACTGAGGGTTGCGATCCATTGCCGGTCACGAAAAAGGACAAAAAGGAAAAAAAAAAAAAAGAATATACATTCAGCAATTGCAGAGTACACATTCTTTTCAAGTGTACATGGTACAGTCATCAAGATAAACTATATTTGATTATAAACAAACATCAATAAATTGAAAAAGATCAAGTTCATTCTAAGAATTACAAAACATTGCTGAGGGATTTTAAAGGAGGTCTAAGTAAATGGAGAGACATTACATGTTCGTGGAACCAAAGACTCAGTATTGTTAAGATGCAGTTCTCCCCAAATTGATATATAAGTTCAGCACAATACCTATCGAAATTCCAGCAGAGTTTCCTAGAAATTAACAAGCTAATCCTAAAATTCACATGGAAAATGAAGGGACCCAGAATAGCCAAAACAGTTTTGAAAAAAAGAAACAAAGTTGGGAGGACTCACACTCCCCAATTTCAAAACTTATTGTGAAGCTATGACAATCAAGACAGTGTGGTACTGGCATAAACAGAGATTACTAAATCAGGGAATAAAATTAAGAATTCAGGCATAACCCTTAAAATTTTGGTGATTTGAGTTTCAACAAAGATGCCAAGGCAATTCAAGGAAATGGCAGTGTTTTCAACAAAAGGTGCTGGGATGATTGGATCCATCCACATGCAAATTTTAGGTGAATTTAGACACTTTACACATAAAAATTAAAAATGGATCAGATTACTAAATGTAAAAACTAAAATTATAAAAATGTTAGAAGAAAATATAGGAAAAAAAATCTTCAAGACCTTGCATTAAACAAGGAATTCTTAGGTATGACACCAAAAGCATAATCTGTAGAAGGAAAAATTGATAAATTAGGCATTATCAAAATTCAAAACTTTTCAACTCCAAAAATATTGGTAAGAAAATGAAATGACAAGCCACAGACTGGAGAAAAGATATGCAAACTACATATGTGTAAAGGGCTTGTATCAGTCATACACAAACAACTCATACACCACAGCAAGAAGACAACTAAAATAAAAAATAGGCAGAAGATCTGAATAGATATTTCACCAAAGATACACGAATGGCTTAAAAGTGCATGAAAGATGCTCAGCATCATTAGTCATTAGAGAAGACAAATTGAAACCACAGTGAAATACCATTTCATATCCATTAGAATGGCAGTAATCCAAAAGACTAACAATAACAAATGTTGGAGAGGATGTGGAGAAATGGGAGGCCTCACACATTGCTGGTGGGAATGAAAAATGGTACAGCCACTCTGGAAAACTGTTTGTTAGTGTCTTTAAAAGGTAAGCGTAAATTTAACATATAACCCAGCTGTTTCACTCCTAGACTGTACCCAGGAGAAATGAAAACATAGCCTACACAAAGGTTTGCACGTGAATGTTCATAACAGCATTCTTCATAATAGCCAAAAGGTGGAACCAACCCAAATTTCCATCAACTGTAAAAAAGATTTTAAAAAATGTGAAAGACCCAATGGAATAATATTCAGCAATAAAAAGGAATGAAATACTGTACATACTTTTTAAAAAATCGGTGAACCTCAAAAACATGTTTATTTTTAGTGAAAGAAGCCAAATACATAAAGACCAAATATTGCATGAAATCCATTGATACGAAATGTCTAGAAAAGGCAAATAATATAGAGACAGTTTATTAGTGATTGCTTGGGGCTGGTTGGAGGGTGGGGAATGGAGATTAACTGTGAATAGGTATGAGGAATCTTATTGGGGTGTTGAAAATGTTTTAAAACTAGAAATATTCTAAAACCCAGCAAAGTTACTACAGAAGTTATTGAATTGTACACCTAAAATGAGTGAATGTTATGGAATGTAAATTATACCTCAATAAGCTTGTCTTTTTGAAAAAATGAAAGCATTTTCTGACCACAATGGAATTCAATTAGAAATCACTAATAATAATAAAGATATCAAAGAAAACCCAAACATACTTCCAAATAATTCATGAGTCAAAGGTAAAATCATAAAGGAAATTAGAATATTGTTCGAACAGAATGAACGAAAATACAGCGTATCTAAATTTGTGGGATACAACTAAGAGGTGTGTAGAGGCCAACATATAGCTTTAAATGCTGTGTTAGAAAAGAAGGATGATTTAAAATTTATGATTTATGGTTCTATCTTAAGAAGCTAGAAAAAATAAGAGTGAGGTAGGCTCAAAGTAAGTAGAGAAAGGAAATAATAAAGATAGAGCATAAGTCAATAAAACTTGAAAGAAAGAGTAAGAATACCAATAAAATCAAAAGCTGATTCTTTAAAAAGAACAAAATTGACACACTCTTAGCTAGACTGATCAAAAAAGAACACAAATTATTAATATCAGAAAGAGACCCCACCTGAATATTGCTGCTGCTTTCTCTTAATTAATAGAATTATTTTAATTATTAAAATAAATAATATTTTTAAAGCCTAATTAAACCATATTTAGCTGGTTTAGAATTTATCAAGAAGAGAAGATGTACAGGAATAATCAAGAAGATTTTGAAAAATAAAAATGTGGGACTGTGTCCAAAATATCAAAAGTTTTAATTATTAAAATAAATAATATTTTTAAAGCCTAATTAAACCATATTTAGCTGGTTTAGAATTTATCAAGAAGAGAAGATGCACAGGAATAATCAAGAAGATTTTGAAAAATAAAAATGTGGGACTGTGTCCAAAATATCAAAACAAATGCTCAAACTATAATTAATTTAGAACAGTATGCTAATTAATGGCAAAAGAAGATAAATGGAGCAGGGGAATGGAGGAAAGTCCAAAAATAAAACTGTATCATATGTATATAGATGTTTGTGATATGAAAAGATAGCATTTTAAGTCAGTGGGGAACAAGAGAATATTAAATAAATGTGTTGGGATAATTAACTATCCATTTGGGGAAAAGTCAGATTCCTGCCCCTTATTGAACAAATGAATAAATCCTGGATGGATTAGATACCTAAGTGTGAATTATAGAGATATTAAAAGGAAAAGAATCCTGCAGAGTCTCAGGTTAAAAGAAAAAGGGCCGGCCCGGTGGCGCACTCAGTAGAGTGCGGCGCTTGGGAGCGTGGCGGCGCTCCCGCCGAGGGTTCGGATCCCATATAGAGACCGGGCCGCTCACTGGCTGAGCGCGGTGCAGACGCGACACCGAGGGTTGCGATCCCGTTGCCGGTCGCGGTATGGGCGCGGCATCGATGGTTGCGATCCCATTACCGGTCACGAAAAAAGACAAAAAGGAAAAAAAAAAAAAGAAAGAAAGAAAAAAGAAAAAGATGTTATTTTTGTCATTTTGTAATGGAGAAAGATTTCCTTAATAAGGAACAAACCCTGGAACCCATAAAGTATGAAAAGATTTTACTACATGAAAATGTTAAAGTCCTATATGATTAAAAATAACAACAATAATACGCACATGCACACACTCAACTAGGAAAAAAATAAATTGTATTATCTGGGCAGTGGAATTACAGGTATATAAAAAATGGCTTTTGATACAAAAATCTGTCTGGTAGATCTTCTCATATGTTATCAGTAAAACTAAAAAAACAACTTTTACTTTATTGTTCTGAAATGTAAACAAGAAATATGTATCTTTGAAACTTGGGTTATTGTGGAAACGAGTAAAGTATAATTCTAATGGTATCAGCTTGGACTGAGATTTGCAGGGAGGAAAATTAACAACAAATGAAGATTAACCGTTAGTAAGGTTACCTTACTCATGGATATATACCTTTGCTGGAACTAAAAAATTATTTCTTGAAAATTGATATCCAGCACACTTGTCCAAATTAACATGCCTTTGTAAAATTGGTTGTTTCTTTCTCTGTAAGTTGTGATGTTGATTCAACTGATCATCTGGATAGTTAAGTGATAGGTATTTCTTCTGCCTTAGAAGTAACTTTTAAAATAATTAACATTAAAGGTGAAGGAAATTAAGCTTATAATTATGTCCTTAGGATCAAAGTTCTGATCGTACCAGTCTTTCTTCAGTGGGAGCCCAGGATTCTGAATCTACCTCTTTAACAGATGAGGATGTCTGCCATGAGTTGGAAGGAGCCACTTCCTACCAAGAGAGCTGTGCCACTTCAGGGACTAAGGGGATTGATCTTAGCCGAACAAGCCTGGAAAGTTCTGCCTCATTAGAAGGTTTGTCCAAGGGCGGGTCACTTAACTCAGTTGGTTAGAGCCTGGTGTTGTAACACCAAGGTCAGGGGTTTAGATCCCTATATAGGCTAGCCACCAAAATTGAAAAAAAAAAAANAAAAAAAAAAAAGTTTGTCCCAACAGTTTTGTCATACTGCATTTGATTTGTAGTACTTTTTACTTTTTTTCTTTATGATTGAAATTTGTTTTTTAATTTTGTAAAAGATTTGCATGGATCCAAAGTCAAGACAATAAAACCAAGGCATTTTCAGAGAAGTCTAGCTTCCATCCCCATCCCCTCTTCCTGTTTTCTCCCTGTCCCTAGAGGTAACCATTTTTATTCATTTTTGGCTTATCCTTCCGTTGTTGCTTTTTTTAAAAATATAGGGGTGTGTATGTGTGTGTACACATGTGTGTATTCTTATTACCTTCTGTCTTTTTACTGAAAAGGTAGCATACTGTGAACACTTTCCCACTCCTTGCTTTTTTCACTTAATGTATCTTGAAGATCATTCAGTATCATCACATAGTGATGTCCTTCATTTATTTTTACAGCTGTGTAGTTCATGTGTGGCTGTATCGTAATTTATTTTAACCACCTCCCTATTGAAAGACCTTAAGTTTCCAGTCTTTGTAATGCTGTAATGCCTATAGTCATATATTTTTGCCAGTGTATCTTTGGAAGATACTTAAGAATTCTTCCTTGAAGTGATACTGCCAAGTTTCCTTCCTTAGGCTATTTGCATTCCCAACTGACAGTGTATGAGAGTACCTATTTCCCCACAGCCTTGTTGACAAAATATGTTGGCAGACTTGGATTTCTGCAATCTGATAGGTGAGGAATGTATTTCACTTTAGTTTTCATTTATATTTCTCTTAGAAATGAAATTGAGAATCTGTTTATATGTTTAGGGACCATTTGCATTTCTGTTTCTGTGAACTGTCTGTCCTTTGCCTACATTTCAATTGTTGGTGTTTTTTTTTTTTATGAGTTGCATGTACTTTAT